TCGTCTACTCGACTTGCTAGTGAGTCGAGTAGCAATTTTTTTGTAAAATTCATCCGTCTCGTCATAATAAGTAAAAGATGTAATTTTAGTAAAAAGAAAAAGAAAAAAAAAAGCTTTAAAAAACTATTGACAAGCCACAAACGGTTCTTCCCGTCAAGGGGCAACCCGATCTATACTTCGATTAAGCAAGCTAACTCGCCTAATGAATCAAGTTGCTTGACTTGGCTCGACCCATTTAATACCTCTACATCTATCAAAATTAAACATTCATAATATAAAAATAGATAATTAAATATCGAGACACGAGATAGGTCGAGTGACGAGAGCTTTCATTAAATCAGTTGATGGTTATTATTCGCTTTTACTTGCTGTATGTTATGTGATTTTGGAGGGTCTATAGGGATCAAAGTTCATCAAGAATTGAAAGTTTGATTGGCAAAAGAACTTTGAAAAATTGAAAACTTGGTTTTGGAGTTTTGGTAGAGAAAATGTCGTCGTAATTTCATTAGCTAGCCGCTAGCTTTGGTGCTGAAAAATGGAGCAGAGAGCTAGCACCCATCTGGCGCCAGCATTTCCCTTGAGCAGCGAAGCTATTGCCCGCCTCATGCTCGAACTACAATGTTATCCGAGTAGGAATTACTTTTCAATTCTAACTCATCTCTTGAGTTGTGTTTCATCCTATATATACTCCACATGGTGTATACTCTTAAAAGATTCAATTAAAAATAAGATCGTTGTTGTATACATTAGAAACTTGAGAGGATTATTTAAATAGATTGAGGGTATCAAATTTTGTATTCTTGGTTTATTGAAATTCTCCTCTTCCACATAAACCTTGTATTCTTGTATGATTCATTATTTTTCATATTAATCTTATTTTCTCGTTTTTATTATTTGACCCGATTCTCAAGAAATTGGTATAAGAGCTGTTAGCGATTCTCTAACAACATGGATCAAATCAACAGTGTAGAGGCAGATTCAATTAATGCCATAGTAATTTTCATTTATAGAATGTTATTTTGTAAGATGTGATGCGGATGCAGGGGCGGACCCAGACGACTTGGGTTAGGGGGGCAAAAATAAAATTTATAAGGTATCTTCTAATAAAAAAAACTACGGAAAAAAAAAAAAAAAAAAAAAAAAAAACAAAAAAAAAAATTTTTTCCCCCCAAAAATTAAATGGAAAAAAAATGAAATCCCAAATCATTGAAAAGATACACATGTCCAAATTACACATAAGAGAATTAATATGTCGATGAATAACTAATGACTTTATTTGTTCTCTAATAACCTAATTTTCTAAACTAGATTATCCTTCGATAAATGATAGATATATGTGGATGAATTTGGAGAAAGAGAATGCAATAGAATAGTATGCACTTCATAACAAAACAAATATAACAAAGACTATGCCATTACATCATGCATTAACGAATTATCAAGTGTACAAGAGATCAATTTGATTTCGTGTAACACCTTTTTTTTTCTTTTTTCTTTTTTAAATTGGGCGGTATAGATTATGACATAGATTTTTTCAATTTTTTTAATAGTTTTCAATTGTGATGGTATTAATTTATGAACATTCACAAACTAATTCTATGATTCTTTTTAGTATTCGCTTAATATAAAAATGAAATTAAAAAAACCACCTTATCTAAAAGTTTTAATTTTTCAAGACATAATAAATTTACCCCTCCTAACATATTGCAAATAAGATTAATTTTGCTTCATATGTCAAATATCTTACACATAAAGTTTTATAGATATACGACGGGTTGACTTAAATTCTAAATATTTGTTTTTCTCATACAATGTTAAATTCTTCATTTAAAAGTTTTATCACTAAGAAATCACAGACTTCTTCTAAGACTAGATGACAATGCACATAAAGTGATTTATGACACAACATGAAGAAAATTCAATGAAGTTTGTTATTGTCTTGAATAGAAATAAAAAAAACAACATTTAACTATCAACATCGAATTTTAATCTATACATTTATATCTTTCGAGTAGGGTCAAGATGATCTACATAAATGTCGAGTCGGGCATATTATAAATTATCGATCTTTAACTCAACACACATGATTGTTTAGGACATGTTTGTTTAGGTGGCTCGAGCAATGATTGACCATTAATACAATAGGCTTTTGTGAGTGAAAATTGACCGTTTCAATAGCATTTGCTAAAGCTTCTTTTTTGCTTTGCTATTAATTATTATTTTTGAGCAAAAGCAAAATTGCGTGGTTTAAAACATGCTAGGACTTGTGGCATGCTATGGAGTATGGACCATCAACCCATGGCCCCCATTATTCTCACTTATTTCTTGTGTGAGAAAGTAAAAGGTTGACTTTTTTGACAAAGTAGATATTTGGTTGACTTTTTAATAAAATCTTATTGGTGTATTATTAAATTTGTCTAAATTTATTCAATATGTAAAAACTAGCAAGCAAAGAAATATATAATTGTAATATTTTAATGGAAGAAGCAAAAATTATTTACCTATTTTAGAAATTAGATAAAAATGTACATAGTCGTAGTTTTTATTGATATAGAGAAAGGAGCTTTGAGAATAGTTACGGTGGCTAGCGTCGGTGGTTTGCCCTGGTCGAGTCTTAGTCCTTATTTAGTCATGGATAAATTTATGAATTACTTCTACGATGTTGTCCCTTGAATAATTTTGACCGGTAATGATATTTGATAAACGGTAAGATAGAATTTTGAAAGGAGAAAATGTTCTAATGAGAATCTGTATGCATTTTATGTTAAGTATTTGTGATATAATATATCAATTATTCATTTGTGAATATCAAATTTAATTCAATCTTTAGATCCATCATAAATTATTTACTTATAAATTGATATATCATTTCAGCGATATTTAGCATAAGATAAACATCAATATTTGTTAAATCATTTCTCTTGTAGAACACTTCGTAATCTAGAGATTTGAGGTTAAAATTGTCAATCAAAAGAACACTAAGGAAGTAAGCCCGTTAGATATCAAAAGTCTGCCTTCTTTCTTTGTTTTTATCCTTCGGCAATGTTTAACTATCAAGTGTGCATCTGTAAAAAAAATTGTTAAACTTTTTAGCATCACTCTAGATATATTGATGGGCTTGCTGAAATAATAAGCCCAATAAGTACTGAACACTATATTTTGCGTTGTTCAATTAACGGACTAGCTATAAATGTGACTGTGCAGTAAATTTTTTTTTTTTTTTTTTTTTTTTATCTTCTTCCTCTACCACCGTCTAGGGATCACAATGAGCAGGGATGAAATATTTCTATTTACTATCTTGTTTATTTTTTTTAATACAATTTATTTGAAAATAAGATTCAATCAACGAGTTCGATCACATCTTAAGTGTGGTGATTTTTCCCACTTGATTGCTCAAGTTAAAAATACATAAAAACAAGCAAAAATAAAGAGAGTGATGATAAGTGAGACGTCACATCAACTTATACTAGGATAACGTGTCATCTTAAGTAACATGTGATATCGAGTATGGTACTATAAGATTAGACATAACTATAATATATATTCAATGGAGCATGATAGACTTGATCAAGAATTCGAGGGTTCAATTTAAAGAAATGAAGAACTAGAACGCTTCGTTTTACTTTTGATATGTGCATTATATTGGTTGTAATATATTTAGTGATGGTTTAGAGAAATAGTAAAGTATTATGATTGGTTTTAGTAGTGAAATTTTGTTGCCATTTTGTTAGGATCGGGAACTCTATCGGTCATCCTTGAAAACGTATGAAAACTAATGGCATCGTTCAACCACTTCCAAACTTCAACAACGATATTTTTGCACTCAAAATTACACACTACAACTTGGAAGAAATCGCTCAAAAAATTGTCATTTAATTGTCAATTTGAAAATGTTGAACTTTACAGTTAACTTGTTTGGAAGCGTTTTATGCACTTATAAACTCTAAATTCTAAAGAATGTGTAGATAATATAATAAGTGAATAATAAATTATGAATTTAACAAAATGTGGAGATAAGAGTTTCTTTAATTGACATAAGTAATAATTAAAATTTTTCCAAAACATTTAAACCACAACTATGTTTCTTATCATGACAAACATTCTTTGTGCATGCTGCATCATCTTGACGTCTATCCTGTGTCATTCTTTCTTCACATTTTTCATTCAAACGTTGTATAGAGTTTGTATTTGTATATCATGCATATTTCATGAATTGCATAATTACATCACTTATTTGGGCATCTTGCAACCATAAATATTGGCTAAATTTAATTATATTTACATCATAGATTTTATTTGGTGCACTACTGTTTAATTCTAATGAAGGCTTCAGTCTTTGTTCATTATAGTACTCGTATCCTCCAATTTTTCATCATAATTTTATAGCATATTTTGTACCCGGTGATGATTTTCATCCAAAAAAAATCGTTAACAGAACATAAAGAACTTTTTCACTCCTCATATTTTTAATAAGCATGAAAAGAAAAATAAATATTCCCTCCGTCCCATTTATATAAACAAACTTTCTCTATTTTCTTGTCCTAATTATATAATCACGTTTCTTTAATAAGAATGTTTTGTTTTATTCATTTACTAATATACCCTTATTTAATTTACCTAATTATAACCAATTAAGTACTAGTTGTCAATAATTAAATAAGGGTAAGATAGGGAAGTTTATGACAAAAATTGCATTTTCAATATTATTAAATAAGATTTCTTAATTCGTACGAAAAATAAAACCAATCTAGTATAAAAGGTCAACAAAATATTTAACTCTTCATTTCAATGTAATTTAAAATTTGATTATTTGAACAGAAACATTTATAAGATATAAAATACGCCAGTTAAATGAGTTAATAACAAAAACGAGACGAAAAATATTTGAGGATAATTCATCATTCACATTGATTTCTTTCACAAACTGGTACTCTTTAACACATTTGATGCGGTTAAAGTTGCACATTAATTAATTACTAAACAGAAACATTGCACAGAGATGAAAAGAGGATAATTCTTCACCAAAGAGTAAATTTTACTGCAAAATTGGTTTTTGTTGCCTTCACATTACAGCAGTCAGAGAAACAAGGAGAGTTTTAACCACAAGGGCTTCTTACTATATACCATTCCAACCTCTTACTATACCATTCCAACCTCATCTTCGATAGGACGAGGAAGAAAAAGAAAAGAAAAGAAAAGAATAAGGAACAAAAACATCATGAAAGCCCGTATTAAAATTTAAGCGCGTCTTTGAAATTTATGCTGAAACTAGTCTCTAGGCCTCGCTTACCACCACCAGCAATAGGAATCCCTTTTTGCATCATGCAAACAAACTCGTTGTAATCTATACGTCCATCCTGCAAAAGAAGAAAGAACCTTGTCGTGAATTCTAAACACGGTCTGTACGATGCATACATATTATGCATTATTTGCTTCATTATTTTTATATAGTAGCCACATGGTAAGAAGATGGAGCCTAGAACTCGATGCCATTGATCAACATGGCATACTTGCCCTTTCTTTCTTGTTATTAAATATGCCATGTTGATCAAAATAATACCAACGGATAAACTTACATTGTCCTGGTCAACTTCCCGGATCATCTCTTCAAGGCGCGAATCCTCCATGCCAAACTCTTGACAAGCTTGTTGAAGCTCGTCTGGGGTGATATAGCCACTTCCATCTTTATCGAAGTATGAGAATGCAGCAAATAAGTGATCCTCTCTCTCAATTTTGTTGAGATGCAATGTTGCAGCTACAAACTCCCCGTAATCAATGGTTCCACTGTTATCGACATCTGCCTGCAATCACAGAGAATTGGAGAATATTACAGAAAAAAGAAGGTAATAGTATCCTCCTTTTACAGTGGTCAATGAAATCTAAGAAACACGAATGAAGGGAATGTACTGCATAGGATAAGAGCAAGTCGGACAAAACAGAAAGTGCTGCAGGAATTCTCTGTGATCGGAAAATTTCGTTAGGGTTAAAGGCAAGTTCTATATAATAGCGATTTGACCAGATATGCTTCATGGTTACGAGTGTTAGGCAAATAAACTACAGAAATCAGAATATCCAGAAGATGAAAGAAATGAGAATATACACCAACATGTGGATGTAGTGCCAATCAAGGAAAAAACTAAGGAAAGGGTAACATTGGTGGTTGGTTCCTGTTTAAATTGATTTAACGAGGTTTCCATTACTAAAAGTGACTTGATTTCGGTAGAGCACACTAAGAAAAGAGGAAGGGGTAGCTAAGGATCTAGTTGCTTTAAATTTCCATCTAGATTTAGCAATGAACTGAGTAGAGTGGTGAAGAAAGATTAAAGTTGCCAACCAAATTTTCCGAGAATAACACTTAAATTGTTGTTGCTGTTGCTGTTGGTGTCAAATGCAGAATGACATCGTTCTTCAGTGGTAGGAAATTTTAGGCAAGCAGTTAAAGAGTACAGAAGCTATACATTTGATTGGGGACTTACCGCTTGCATTAGATCATAAATCTCGGACTCGTTCAGATTGGCGCCGACTCTCTTCAGTCCAGCTTTGAGTTCTTCAAAAGTGATTTGGCCACTGTTATCCGTATCTATCATCTTAAACATTTCTTTCAGGCCAGCAATTTCTTCTTCGGATAAGGACTCGGCAATTACCTGAAACATATGTATATCTAATCAAGCAGATAAATGATATGTATGTTTAGCCTTTAGAATATATTACACAATTCATTTTATTATATCCAAATGTGTATCTGTACAACTTAATATCTTTGTTAGACATATAACAGCAGCCTTAAAATCCTAAGACTTACTCTAAGAGCCATTTTCTTGAGTCTATTCATCGCTGAAAATTGTTTCATACGACTCAAAACTGCCGAGTCGAGAGGCCTGTCAGGAGCCACTCCTTCAACTTGAACCCAAGGGTGGCCTGCAGAAAGATTAAGCTTCGGGTGAGCCAAAAAAGTTGATAAATATTGTCTGACACACAGAGAGAGAGAGAGAGAGGGAATGCGTCATGAGAATTATGACCAAGGTAAAGATGAGATATTTTCCTTTGCTCTGCATTCAACTGATGAAAGAAAAGAGAGAACCCATTACATTCGATCGTTGACGCTATGACTTTTACCTAAGGAACGCCTAGGGTATCTAAAAATGCATCAAAATAATTATTAGCAGAAATTGCTCATTTCAGAATTTAGATTTGGAATAGGGATCTCAAAAACAAGAATAGAGTATAAACTTATTTAGTCAAAATTTTTGGCAACCCAACTCTCTTCCAACTTTAATCAAGCAACTCTCCACGTCATAATATATATACTAATTTAAAATAATTCCATCTGAGATACTTACACAGGACTTCGTGTGCAGTTAAACGCTGTTTGGGGTCTCGAACAAGCATTCTCCTAACCAAATCTTTTGCCTCTTCTGATATACTTGGCCAGGGATCTGATGCAAAGTCAAGATCGCCATGTAGGACTTGTTCAAATATTCCTTGCTCGTTTTCTGTAGTCATTAGAGAAGAGAGGGGCTACATTCATATCAATACAAATTATGACATTTATGTTATGTTTGGTGAGGCGGATTGAATAATACTAGACAATATTAAGAAAGGAAAAGTGGCTAAAATATTGTTCATACTACTAACCAAACGGTTTAATACCATGTACAAACATGCGAGAATAGTCAAAGGTAGACAAGACGTTGACATAATTCATCGAATATAAACTTTCACAATTCTCACCGGCCCAGAAAGGAGGAACTCCACTGAGTAAAATATAAACAATTACTCCGGCACTCCAAACATCGGCTTCAACCCCGTAGCGCTTTCGGAGAACTTCTGGTGCAACATAATATGGACTACCCACCACATCAGTAAATTTTTCCCCTGAAAATTGATTAGTAACAGTTCCTCGTTATATACGAAAGTAAACCAAAGGAAAAAGACATGCAACACAAAAAAAGCTTTTGAAAGTTTTATCAATGTCTGATTCAAGGATGCAAATTATCTGAATATATATTCCATCAACATGAAACAATATCGTAAAGCATTAATCTGAACAAATTCACGAGCTATCTTGAGAACAAATGAGAATGAGAAAGTAAAAAATTGTTCAGGTATAACTCAATCAAACCAAATAGTAGGGTTATAGGAGAGGGGGAAGGGAACGAGAACAGGGAGAAAAGAAGAAAAGAGAGGAAGAAAAGAGGAGGGGGAGAGACAAAAGGAGGGAGATACAAAACGGAGAGAAAACATCACATTGTTGCTTTGTTTGGTTTTCCTCCAAAAAAAGGAACAAAGAAAAGAAACAAAATCACTTTAACATAAGTTTTGTCCCCAAAATGTTATTATGTGCCTATAAAAAGTTGGGAGAATAATTAATTACAAATGGAAAAAAGCTTCCTCAGCATCCTCTGCAATCTCTTGAACCAATTGAGGATTTGCTCTCAAAAGTGGACCAATCACTTGCCGTTTTCATGCTCACATATATTTCTCTACTAATGATACCATTATTCTCCATGTGTCATTATATGATCAGTATCGTTATTTAGTCAAGAAGAAAAATCGTCCTCTTTCGATAAGAAGTTGCAATCTACCTCATCGTGCCAAGTTCTCTTAGCCGAGAGAAATTATGGTGATCCTATAAGATATATTAAATGAAGACTTTCCATGTTTAGAGTTTATTTTAGGAAAAGCAATTAAGGTTCTAATTTAAAAGATTTTCTAGTGTTTTTATGTTATTCTTTTAGTTGGTTTACTACTTAAATTAGGTTATCTAGCCCTATTTAAAGAGGGCTTATGCTTGATAATAGTTAGATTCTGTCTCTCCTTTCTCCCTCTCTTCCCATTTCTTTCTCAAGTCTCGTTCTTGTTCGATTGTGTCCTGTAAAAGGCCCTCAATTTGAAGTCTACAACTTGGTTGACTTTCTAAATTTTACCAAGTTGAGCAGAATCTAATACACAAAAAGGTGGTCACATTGCAAGGGGGATACTTCGGGTGACAAGATGTGGTAAAACTTTATCATGAATCTCTGTCTTGTAAACTTATCAGCAAATCGGGCACCTCCGCATTACAGGCCAATGTTAACAGTGGGTTCTACCCAATGTGCCGTAACAGTGGTGTCTGCGCAAACACCCCTTCTTGGAGGATCCTCATTGAGGACACAATGATTAAGTTATGACTGTGTGATAGATACAAGAAACAAATAAATAAATGCTGCAAATAAAAATAGAAAAAAATTCAGGCAGCTAAAATCTACGTTCCAGTGAAAAACTATAGGGAGAATGGCCTATTAGTTCAACTCTATCTCAAAATGATTTGAAACATGTGGGCATAATGGAAAATACAAATGATATCTAGAAAACACACACATTTTAGTCCAAATTAAAACTGAGACGACACAGTTTAATGATGAAAGAACATCTTCTAGTCATTATTCTAATATGTATGTATATTATACATTTTTTCTTGCTTTTAAATCAATAAGTTGCTTGTATTGAAAGACACTCTTACCATACTGTCAAAATCTTTTAACTAGTAAAAAATTATTTACATGCTCTTGCAATTCCAGATTTCTGGAGTGTGAATAAGTATTAATTTCACTCACGTGTAGAGACAAACAAAGAATAATTGCATTATGTACCTGGCTTGAAGAATATTGACAATCCAAAGTCGATTGTCTTGAGGAGAGATTCCTCCTTGTGATCAACAAAAAGGAAATTTTCGGGCTTGAGATCACGATGCATAACTCCCAAAGAATGACAAGCTTCCACCACTCCAACTATAGTCCTAGAAAGCTCAGCGGCCTTCCTTTCGGTATAATGCCCTCGTTGAATGATTCTATCGAAAAGCTCCCCACCTGCACATAACTCCATAACAACATGAACCGCAACAGCATCCTCATATGCCCCTTTAATAGATATAACATTTGGATGCCCAGCTAGATGGTGCATTATCTGAATTTCCCTTCTAACATCCTCAACATCATCATCATGCAATAACTTCCTCTTGGCAATCGATTTGCAAGCGTATTCTTTGCCCGTCTCTTTTTCCACGCAAAGGAATGTTGTTCCAAACTGCCCTTGTCCTAATTTCTTCCCCAATCTAAAAAACTCCTTCAGATTTCCAGTTTCCCTCCGCAAAACAGAATCAGTCCTAAGCCCTGCACTGTTATTCCTCTTTATATGAGGAGGCTTTCTAGGTTTAGCCGGCTCTTCTTGTTTAGTTTCCGGCTTTGGGATTGTCACTTGTTCGGGTGGCGTGTTTTGGACTGGCATGGGTGACTCTGGTTCCCTACCAGAAGTTGGCATCTCATTTTTCGCGGTCTCCCCATTAACAGAAGAATCATTATTATCTGGCATTTGGGATCGCCAAATGGCAGCTGAAACCGATTGAAAAATACCATTTTTGGATATGCTTGGTCCAACACAAGTGTTCCCCATCTAATCCCTAAATCAATTTCCTCAGAACCCCTTTAGCATTAAGCGCTAAATCTTATGCTTAGTAAGTAAATAAGATCTAATCCTAAGATCATTCCCAAAAAAACCCATCACCTTCAAAAATCAAAATTCTTCTTTTCCACCTCGTTTCGCCAAAAATAATTCCTAATGAACCTTTTAATTAGCCCAGAAAACCTACTAAGAAAACCTAAATACCCCAAACAATTCAATAGTTTTAAGTATTTTCAAATCAACTAACCAAATTAAAGAATAAACAAGTCAACTTTCAACTGTAATTCACATGAACAATCAAGAAAGCACAACGAAAATCGAAAAAGTATCGAGTTAACGAAGTCTTAGGCGAAAAATATGCATTGATTGAACAGGAACTGGCACAATTAATAATAAAAAGAACAGAAAAGGACAGAACGATCGGAAGAAAGGGGGGAAAAAACAAAGTTACAAGCTTTAAGATTTCATATTTCACAGCAAAATTCTACTTTATAAGTAGGGTCAAAGAATATGAACAGGCTGCTACACACTGCAATGAAGAAAAACTTGAGATCTTGATGAGAACCGGTCACATTCCTGAGTTGATATCCATTAAATATTAAAGTAGTATAAAATTAATTAAGCAAATTGATGCATTTTCATGTTTAATTATGTAAAATCTAGACAAACTCGCATAAAAAACGCGTTTTTTTTCCGGATATTTCAACCTTGAGTTTCTTGGTTGGACAATTTTCGCTTGAGTGGGATTTGTGTCAACTATATGTAAAACATCGAACTTAGCTTCACTTTGCCTGGCTCATCTACGAACTTGTGCATGTACAAAAATTTAAATTATAATTCTTCACATATTTCGTAAAACTCAAGACTTATTAATAATTTTTTTATTTACATGTTTTATAGAACACACTATTTATAACACTTGAAAATAATATCAAACAAGCAAGCAATTTGTTAGTTGTAATTAGCATGCAATTTATTTAGGAATATGGTATTGGTAGTGATTTTCATATATTACATAACATAATGTTTTGTCCAAGAGATAGAAGACAAGAAATGAGTTACCTATTCCTACTCAATGCTGATTTGTTATTCTTAATTTGTTAATTGATAATCGATTCTCCTCTCAATAGAATTTGAACTTATTAGCAATTTATTAACACGAATTACTCTAATCTTAAGCGATTAAAAAACCTCGAGATATTTTTATTCTATGATTGATATGAATTCAAAATTTTGTTGTGTTCATCTTGTTTTGAGCTATTCAAATTTATCCAACGTGAATATCAAACTATTAAGAAACAATGCTTAATAGATTTTTCTTCTTTTATTCGTTATCATGCTATTTTGCATAGTGTGGAAGAATACATAGCGTCACTTAGCATTTCACCGTATTGTCTTTTATACGTCTAGTTTTAGAGAGCAAATAGAACTTGTATTCAATATATTTTTTCAATAGGCTACCTAAAATTCCTACCATGAGCCTTCTTAAATTTCTACCTATCATTGAAATTTGAGTTCTTCATCCTTTTATTTTTATTTTTTTTTATTTATAACTCAGGTGTCCAAGTTTCATCTGATTAATCTTGAAAAGTGGCAACCTTCCCCCATGGTTCACCACTGAGGTAAATTTGGATATGATCATAGCTTATACACACTTGGACCGGACATTTAGGATACGGTTCTCCTTCTTGTAGACCTCCCTTTACAACGTGTGGACAGGACTCTCGGAGGGGCGACAAAGCACACCATAACTTTGCCTCCACAAGACAACTGCCTTCCGACATAAATGTTGGCTTCTAGATGCCGCGGAGATTCGAACATCCGATGCTCCATATAGAACTTTCCTACTTTACCACTGCATCATGCCCGTGTGGGCTCTTCATCCCATTTCTTTCTAGGCTTCACATGTGTCAAATGTTATGAAATGAAAATTTTATGAAGTAAAGGGATTAAAATTACAAGCATGCAAGGTATTTTTTTTGTTTTTTTACAGGATTCGAACATTTTTGGGATAAAAATCGACTATAGCGTGCAACCATTGCACAATGCTCTAATCTAGAATAACACGTTAGGTGAAGGTGACTAGACAATACGATCAAAGAAAATTAACTAAAGTATCGTCTATTATGGCCCTGTTTGAGCCACAGTTAAAAAAAATATATTCTTAAACAATTATTTGACATTATTTCAATAACATATTTTTCAACAAAATAATATTACATGCAAATCCAAAATTTTTCATTATTTTTAACTACATATTTCTTCTCAATACACTATTCAAAAATGCATTTTTATGAAAATAATGTTGCTCAAACAAGGGTATATTATCCCTAAACATATCCACCAAATAGGCAAATAAATATGCATCCATGAATAGTAATAGATCCATCAAATGCGAAAGCTTAAAAATAAGTTAAAATTACTTTTAAGTAAATTTTTATTTTCAAATACATTTGAATAAATTATTTTTTATTACTTCTTACCTTCTCTTATAAGAGTCTCTTTGAGTTTACTATTCATTTTTGTAGCCTTAGGTTTCACATCACTGTAGCAAAACTGGTTTGTAGCGCCTTTTCTTATTTTCAACTTTTTAGCCCACCTTTTTTGACTATTTAGCAAGATATTATCTTTTACATTTCATTTTCTCCAAACCACTTGCATATCTTCGCCGACTTTATCAATCCAATCTGCCTCTCTCTTATACTTCTCCAGTTTCATTCTCTGTTGAAAACTCAAAACAAAAATATTAAACTCCATAACAATTATCCATAAAAAAAGAGTTAACGATAGAATAATTGCAACGACAATGAGGACGAGCGTGGTATGAATTGTTTTCCTACCTTCTCTTATAAGAGTCTCTTTGAGTTTACTATTCATTTTTGTAGCCTTAGGTTTCACACTACTGTAGCAAAACTAGTTTGCAGCGCCTTTTCTTATTTTTAACTTTTTAGCCCATCTTTTTTGACTATTTAGCAAGATATTATCTTTTACATTTCATTTTCTCCAAACCACTTGCATATTTTCGCCGACTCTATCAATCCAATCGGTAGCTCTCTTATACTTCCCCAATTTCATTCTGTGTTAAAAATTCAAAACAAAAATATTAAACTCCCTAACAATTATCCATAAAAAAAGAGTTAACGATAGAATAATTGCAACGACAACGAGGACGAGCGAGGTATTAATTCTTTTACACAAATTCTTAGAAATTATGAAAAGAAAGTTGGGAATTTCTGTTGCTGGTTTTTATATGATTAATTTGGTTTTTGATGTAGCTTTTATTTGTTTTAGATCTATAGTGGAAAACGAATGGTTTTGTGTTTATTTGATTTAATGGGATCTGATTTTAGTTAATAAAAAAACAAAAAAAGTTTTATTTTTTGTTATTAAATTCAAAAGAAATGAAATTCATATTTGGTTTTAATGTTGTCGTGCTCAGTTGAATTTTCTTTTTAGGGTTTTTATAGATCTATTTTCTTAAAATCTATTTTCATTTTGCTGAATATTTTGAAACATTTTTTTTTTGAAAAGTATAACATATAGTTAATTGTTTTAGATTATATAATAGGAAAAAAAATCGTTTTAATGCATGTATGGATGTTATGTTTTTAACTTTCCTTTTCGTGTTGTTGATTTTTTTTTTTTTATTTTGATAAACCTGTTTTCTTGAAGTTAAGGTTTCAACCTGAGACCTTTTTTGAGTGCTATGATTTTCATTAGGTAATGTTTTATTTTTGGAGATTTTAGGATTTCAACTTCCAAGCTCTCTTCTCCTACTTCTTCTCTTCTTACATTTCTCTTTCATTTTGAATTCACTCTGAGGCACATCCAAGCATTGCTGCTCAATCATAATCTATCATTTTTTTAGATATTCTTACCAAATATATCGAAGGAAAAATGATTTCATAGAATAGTTTCAACTTCCTAAAATTTGGCACACGATTATCAAACATAGTACTATCATGTTGTGTGCATCCCTCAACAAACTTGGAAAAGTAAATGAGTAAAACATAAAAAGGAATATACATTAGATAAAATATATGTAATCATAGAATTGCAAAAGTAGTAATACTTACTTATAATAATGCAAAGTGATCGACTCTTTTATATAATAATGATGATGATGATGATGATGATGATGATGATGATGATGATAATAATAATAATAATAATAATAATAATAAGACCCTAGAAATTCTCTAAGACTCATTCAATTTGGTTAGTACAGTTGTTGTATATTTTGCAATTGTGAGAGTGCAGAAGAACTTTAATGATAGTAGATATTATTGACCATCAAGTATTTTCTTCATCAACAAAAAAATGCAGTAGTCATTTTGAAGGATGAAATTTTTCATAGTAGGTAAAAGTTGGCAATGAGAAAAGATACAAGGTAAGAATGAATTGAGGAGAATGAATAGTAGGAAATGCTGGTAATCTAAAATAAGATTTCCACATTGAAAACTTTAAATAAATACTAAAAAGAAACATAAAAAATGTAAACTCCATAGATATCTTACTCCATTCTCTAATATTGAAGATATTTATTCCGGCTTCTACATTTGATGGCTTAAAATGGCTTCATAATTGGAACAAGTTGTACTACACACTTCAGTTTGACAAATTTTGTTAATTTTGCAGTCATTTGTTGTTGTGGTAAAATTTCTATATTTTTATTTTATATATATTCGACGATTGTATATTTTTCTCCTATACTTTATTATATTTCAAGTAGTCCAACATGCACAAAGCCAAATGTGAGAATGATGAATTTTTCAAAGTTCAGCCTATTATTGCAAATCCCTCTACTTATGGTTAGTAATTGTAATGTTGATGTATTTAAATAATAAAATTTCAATAAGTTTATTTTTTTAATAAAATTTAGTCTATAGTAAAATTATTTTTCCAGAATTTGTGACTTAGAACTCAAGAAAGAAAATTGAATAATAAGCTTTATTATTTGCGTTACATTGTTATTCATAATACATGACTTGTATTTCAAAGTTTTATATTTGTTAACATATATTTTCCATATTCAAAATATCACATGCTCGTGTTGCTAAAACTTTTGATATACCATTGCGTATCTTCATAATGCTTTGGATGTCAGTTTGTATTATCATTTCCGTAAGTGCCCATCTTTTCTCTGTTATCTTATCCTTCTAAGTAATCAAATTGATATTTAATTTTTAAGATGAGAATTTTTTCTTTTCTGGAAATGTATTTTTGTGTTTATTTTAGAGAAATGAATCATGATACATATGTATAAACATTAATCAAACAAAAAATTAAATGTTTTCGAGGGTTTATGTTTTACAAAAAAGTTTATTATTGCTAAAGTAGGTCTATACATATTCTTTTATCCATATATTTATTTCATTTGTAATAGAACTTTCTATTTACTTCGAAGAAAGATAAAATAACATACTCAAGTAAATAGCTGCACATATGAATTTCCTCATCTATTTGCATGTGTACTTGAAAGTGTAAAATATTGGTTGTGTTTAAAGTTATTTGCGAATAGTTTTCTTTTGCATTTAAACAATGTCAATTAGATTCCATAAACAAAATATGTTCCCTAATATTTCTTGCTTGTTACAAATTTCATACATTCTTGTGAATTATGATGGAGACATAAAAGAATATATTCATAACTTGTGAAAAAGAAACTAAAGCTTGATGCTGCTGTATACTTCATTACACGCTATGAGTCAGTATCTCATTTACCAACATGCTACATGAGTAGTTCCTATATTGTGCTAAAGCAAAATGGTAAGTGTACCATTT